CCCCATTTGTCATTTCTGGTCTGTCAACAACAACAGCTCTTTTTTCCCACTTTTTTTTTTTTTTTGTTTTCTCTCGGGGTGTGACGGAAATCCCACTCTGCAGTGTGGGCGAATGAGCGCAGCTCCACCGGATAAAAAGAGAAGAGAAAGAAAGAGAAAGAAAAAGAAAAGAGAGTACAAAAGAATGTCAAAGGGCCATACCTCCTTGGCAGTCAGACTCGGGCAAAAGTCAAGGTCGTCATCGAAGCAGCGGGCAGCCTCTTGACTGATTCTGTACTGTTCAAGGTGCATAACTGTTTTGTGTTGTTGAACGTGATAGGGACGCGATGAAGATTGAGAGAGAGAGAGAGAGAGAGAGAGAGAGAGAGAGAGAGAGCGAAGCGCGGGTACAGGTAGCAATTGCAAGAGACAGAGAAAGAGAGAAAGAAGAACGAGTCAACAAGGCAGGCCAGAGAAAAAGAGTATTAGGAAGAACGAGGCAAGGCAGGATGCCCAGGAACAGAAAAGAAGGTCGAACCTTGGGCCATGATGCGGTCCTCGGAAGACGAATGGGAAGGTCGCGGAAGTGAGAGGGTCGAGTGAGTGTGAGTGTGAGCGTGAGAGTGGGAATGAGAGTGAGAGTGAGAGTGAGAGTGAGAGTAAGAGTGGGCGAGAGTGGGCAAGAGTGGATCAGAGGAGGAGAGCAGAGAGACACAAAGAGAATGGGTTGATGCAGATGATGGAGAAAGAGAGAAAGGTGATCAAATCCCAAGAGAGTGCGGCAGGTATATATTGATTTCTCTCTCTCTCTCTCTGTCTCTCTCTCTCTCTCCTCTCTCATACTCTCTCTCATACTCTCTCTCATACTCTCTCTCTCATACTCTCTCGTACTCTCCCTTTCCTGGCCAATGCTGCCCTTTTTCCTCCGCCCCAGCCAGCCAGGGACGAACGAACGAGAACGACGCGCCCTTTGAAAAGAGCGCGGGGGACATGTGGCTCGGCCCGATATGAGAGTGATGGGATATGATCGGCTATAATTAATAGGGGCAGGACATTTGCACTGGCGTACAAGGGATTGACATTGCCATTACCATTGGCATAGGCATTTGGCTGTCTCCTCTTCTCTCTCTCGGTCTACCCGCGGAGCATTGGGCGGCCCGCAATCTAATTGACTTACAAAGAAGGTGCAAGAGAGGAATGCAGATATGAAGTCGATGACGCCTGCCGTGGAACCACATCACCGCCGCACTCTCTCTCTCTCGCTTCTGGCTCAATCGAGGCTGTCCTACCCGTTTGGAGGCCCATTCACACTCCGATGGCTCTCTCTCATTATTCTCTCATTCTCCCTTCTCTTCTCTCTGCCTGCGGCAAGGAATGACTCGATCCGCTCATGACCTGCCCAGCCACCTGAACTCTATCCGTAATTATACTTCGCTTGGCCCACTGCGGTCCTTGCGGTTTCTCGGCACCAGGAAGAGCTCTTTCTGGACCAGCCATTGGACTGGTTCGCCTGCCCCCTGTGCAGGCCATGACGACGATCCCTTTATGCACCATTGTGCTTTATCTTTTGGGTTTGTCACTGGAGTGTCATCATGCTTCAGATTATTCGGGCTGTCTCCCCTTTCAGGAACGCCCGTCGGGTCATCGGTCATCGGGCCATTGGTCGCGCACCTGCTCATCGCGCCATGCAGCACGGCTCATTCGCACCTCCAGATGGACCCCCTGTTCATCGACGTGTTCATCATCTCTAGTGCGCGGTTCCTGTCTCTCTCTCTCTCTCTCTCGACGCTCAACTCTTGCTCAACACTCTACTTGACGAGCAATTGAGTGCCTAGGTGAGCAAAACATCAAAAACTCCCGCTCTTTTTTTTTTTTTTTTTCGACGCTGGGCAATGAGTGTGTCCTTGACCGTTTTCTCTCGTTCTCTGAGCGACGCCCAACAACCGCATAAACGCGAGCAATAATGAGAGCGTGAAATGGCATTGCTCGTGTCCTCTCAATGCTATCGTCACTTCAGTCATCGAGAGAGAAAAGAGAGTGACAATGCGAGAGCAAGCAAGAAAAGATAGGGGTGAGAAGAATCAAGGCCAGAGGGTGTCCTCACATGGCCCACTAAAAAAACAGTCATTTTCAGGCCCCAAAAGGCAGACATTGCACGAGTAGACATGAGACTTCATCATGACCAGATGATGATGACGAACAGGAATGGATCCCATGAGGTCCCGGGAAAAAAAAGAGAGAGAGAAGCAAAAGATTATCGTCAACTGCAGGGATCGAACCTGCGCTCCAAATGGAATACACTAGCAAGCTCGGACCAATGGCAGAACCATGGTCCAAAGTAGCAGGCATACGCCTTAACCACTCGGCCAAGTTGACTTGAACAGATCGTGTTGGTAACTCACTGTTCGCGGCTCCTTGAACCTAATTTCTCTTAATTTCTGGAAATAATGAATTCTGGATAGGATTTAAATGTCTAATTCCACTGTGAGCAAATGCTCACGTGAGGAGTCCCTCCTTGTATTTTGAAATGCTTTTTACAGAGGTTCGACAAAAAAATGGAAAACTCCATCGACTCTGGACACTCTTACGGACTCATAAGAACACAACTCTGCAAACCAATGGACCTTTAGTTCTCTCTCTCTGCCAAGGGTTGACACCACTATCTCTGGTAGAGAGATGAAACTTTTATTCTCAGTAACAAAGAGTGTTGCGGCATCCATTGCACACCGCTTTGCTTACATAGAGCGATAAGCCTATGATGTGCTCTGGATGGACCGACACAAGGATGTCACGGCAGTTGGAGCTGTGGTAATGGGTTTTCGTACCCGGCCGATTCATGCCAGTGTGGGGCACCTCTCAAAGATCACCAGGAGCAACGCTGCCCTGGTGCACAGAACGACACTGTGGCGGAGGACGCTTGCTGACTTGATAGCAATGCAGGCCGTAGGAATTTGGAGATGATGGAGAGAATATGTTATCCTGTTCCGGTGTCGAGAGAGGTGGCAATCGTTGAGCAGGACCAGTGGCAACGTGAGCTGCTATGGTTGGTGGAGGATTTCCACCGCAAAGCGGTGGCCTTTGACTAGATTGATTTTATTATTATTAGTCAAGTCTTTACCTACACGGCTATACCAGTAGGAACTCCATGAACTGCATTGTCGAAAAAGGAACTGAAAAACAGCACCAACAGGTTTGAGGACATGTATTAATTTGAATAATAGCAACCTGTCTGGAAGGACACTTCTCTCTCCTGGCGTATTGATGCAGAATCGACTAACATGTCTAGATCCTGGCACACCCCCGACCGACGCATGTCAGTGCAGAGCCCCTCTTGTGGATCATCAGAAGCAATACTGCTCTAGTGCACAAAATGACGCCGCAGTGGTGGATACCCCCCTGCTTGATAGTAAGGAACTTGACGGTGATGGAGAGAATGGGTCGCATCCCGTCCCGGTAATAGTCCGTTTCTCAACTTTTTTAAACGTCTTGAGATAAGTGGTAATCGTTGCGCGGAGCCATTGGCAACATGAGCCGCTATGATTGCCACTCCAAAGCGGCAACCAGGGCTTGACTAGTTTTTAGTTTAGCATTTGCCTGTACAGCTTTACCAGCGGAAACAGATTCGTATATGTATAAAAAAAAGATCTCGGCAAGCCAAAGATATTCAGAGGTGATGGAGAGAATTGGACATTTCTATTAACAAGTCTGCAATATCGCTGTGCGGGACTTTGGGTGTGTGAGCTACTAGCGTGGTCAGTGGAGGATTGCTGTACCCGAGACTTGCATAGTTCTTTTTTTTTATTTTATTATATTTTTGTTCAATCTTTGCCTACATCGCCAAACTAATGGAAACAAGTTGTCATCTAAACAAACATCTATACACACCTTTATTGAAGCACTATTCTTGCTCGAGTGAAGGCCAGAACCCGACGACCTAACCCGGTGTTCAATTCAACGGATGGCACACAAAGACCAACTAGTCTACAAGGGTAATGTGACCCATTTCTTACTTCCTCTTGGCTCTCTTGCTTCTAGATGAGTCTTTTTTTTTTTATTACAGATGGATCTGAAAATTGCAAACATTTCACCGGTATCTTGGCTTTGCTATCCATGAATGGGCTGCTTTTTTTTTCTCCCTTTTTCTTTGACCCAAGAGGGTACAGGAAAAAGTTGAGAACCAAGCCGAACAAATGGATTTTTCTTGATCGCCCGCAGGGCGTAAAATGGCGTAATTGGCTCTACAAGATAAGAGAAACGGGGCAACAACTGCAGAAACAAACAAAGAGAGGGTTGCTGCTGCTGTTATTGTTGTTGATGAAATTCTGGAATAACAGGATTCAAATTGTTCTTGAAGAAATGAAAGAAATAAAGGGGGGGGGGAAGAGATACACACGTAGTTCCTCTCCCCTCCCTCTTGTTCTACTACCTCTAAAAAGAATAAGCTGGCTCTACTCAAGGAAAATTACCCGGGAATAATAGACGATCAATAGTGTACGTGTCTATGTGTGTTTATGTCCTACGCGATATGCAAACAGAGACAGCTTTTCCAACTCCAACACCACTCGACATATAAGAGAATGGGTGATTATCCTACCGATCTAATCTCTTCTCCCCCCCCCCCTTTTTTCCACGGTCTGAATGATGAACGGGGTGCAACTTTTTCCTAGGAGAATTTTGCACGCTTCTTCTAGTTCTCTCCATCTCCAGACTCTTCTAGTGCCAATCTCTCCCCCCCCCCCTCTCTTCTCCAGAACCGTACACATACACCGTACCCTTTCATTTTAGTTTGCTCGATGGAAACAGTTGTCCTCGGCAGAACCGGAACAGTCTTCTCCCTCCCTTCTCTCCAAAATGTTTTTTTTGGAACATCCATTTCATTCATTCCTTGTCGTGTCCTTCCTCTGCCGTGGACTGTTGTTTCTAGACACACACAAACGCCCAAACGGGGTGCACACAAAAAAAAAGGGAAGGCGGCCAATATTTAGTTTGACCTAGAGTAGATAC